TATTCTATCACAATCAATTATTTAGTCATTCCTCAACCCAACTGATGGGCATCCTCTGGATTTCCAATTCTTTGCCACCACTCAAAGTGCTACTATAAATATTTTTGTACAAATAAGTAATTTTCCCTTTTCTTGACCTCTTTGGGATACAGACCTAATAGTGTTATGGCTGGGTCAAAGGGTATGCATAGTTTTATAGCTCTTTGGGCATAGCTCCAAACTGTTTTTCAGAATGGGGGGTTGGATTAAGTCGCAGAACCCCACCAACAGTACATTAGTTTTCCAATTTTATCCATAATCCCTCCAGCATTGACCATTTTCTTTTTCTGTCATCTGATAAATGTGAGGTGGTGCTTCCAAATTGTTTTAATTTGCATTTCTCTAATCAGTAGTGATTTAGGGTATTTTTAATGTGATTATTGATTGCTTTGACTTCCTACATATCCTTTGACCATTTATCAATTGGGAAATGGTACTTATTTTTTTTTAAATTTAGGTTCAGTGTCCTGTATATTTGAGAATGAGGACTTTATCACAGAAACACTGTAAATTTTTTCCCAGTTTCCTGTTTTCCTTCTAATTTTGGCTATATTAGTTTTATTTGTGGAGAAGCCTTTTAATTTAATGTAATCAAAATTATCCATTTTACTTTCCATGATTCTATCTCTTGCTTGATCATAAAGTCTTTATCTATATATCCAACAGGCAAATTTGTTCATGTTCCTCTAGGATACCATGCTTACTTGTGATATCACCCTTTACATCTAAATCATTTACCCATTTTGACCTTATTTTGTTATATAGTGTGAGATGTCAGTCCATACCTAGTTTCTGCCAAACTGCTTTCAAGTATCCCCAGCAATTTTTATCACATGTTTGGTTCTTACCCCAAAAGCTTGGATCTTTGGGCTTATCAAACACTAGATTACTATGATCATTTACTACTGTGTACTGTGCACTTAATCTATTCCATTGATCCACCACTCTTAGCCAGTACCAGATTGTTTTAATGATTACTACTTTGTTTTTTTGTTTTGTTTTGTTTTTTCTGAAATCTGGAACTGCAGGTCATCTTCCTTCAATTTTTTTTTCATTGATTCCCTTCATATCCTTAACCTTTTGTTCTTTCAGATGAATTTTGTTACTATTTTATCTAGTCTATAAAGTAATTCCTTGTAGTTTGATTGGTATGGCACTTAATAAGCAAATTAACTTAGTTGAAATTGTAATTTTTATTATATTGGCTTGACCTATCCATGAGCTATTAGTATTTCTCCAATTGCTTAGATTTGTGTGAGAAGTGTTTTGTAATTGTGTTTATATAGTTCCTGGATTGGTCATGGCAGGTGGACTCACAATAATTTTATATTGTCTGCAGTTATTTTAAAAGGAATTTCTCTTTCTGTCTCTAGCTGCTGGACTTTGTTGGTAATATAAAGAAATGCTAATTATTTGTGTGGGTTTATTTTATATCTTGCAATTTTGATGAAGTGTTGTTTAAACAAGGTTTTAGCTGATTTAGTTGATTTTCTAGGGTTCTCTAAGTATATTATCATATCATCTGCAAAGAGTGATAGTTGTATTTCCTCACTGCCTATTTTTATTCCTCCAATTTCTTCTTCTTGTCTTACTGTTATAGCTAGCAATTCAATATTGAATAATAATGTTGACATGGACATCTTTGTTTCACCTCTGATCTTGCTAGGAAGGCTTCAAATTTATCCCCACTACAGATAATGTTTGCTCTTGGTTTTAGATATTACTATTTATTATTTTAAGACAAGCTCCATTGATTCCTATGTTTCTAGTGTGTTTAATAGGAATGGGTGTTGTCAAAGGATTTTTCATTTTTAAAAATTCTAGTTACTAGAAACCATTTTAAATATCTAAGTAATTGAAAACCACCAATGTATAAGAATAAAGCAATCCATGATATTTTGCTTATAAATGTAAATTTATTCAATGATAACAGTAAAGACACTAGATATTAAATTTTCTAGTACCTTTTACTATACATCTTAAAGGTAAAAAATAAGTTCTTATAAAAGGAAAAAAATTTTAAATGATAAATAATGGAAGCTGGTTCTAACACAAAGCAAAACAGTCAGCTTCTCACTCCCTAACCTGGTATTGGAAAGCCTCTGTGCTATTCAGGTAAAAAGAAGAGGAAAACTATTTACATGAACAAAGCAACCCCCTATACACCATTCTTCAATTTGTGCTACCAGAGCCACACAGGTCAAGCAGGAAGTCTGCATATATATTTTCAAATCTTGCTGCTTTTCTCAAGTCTAATTATCAAGAAAGTAGTCCCTTACCAAAATGTCTTTCTCTATAGCGCTTGGTGCTGTTTGTGCTTCATCCACTAAAGCTTTGTCTGTGGCACAGTCTTGCTGCCTAGAAAAATCACGTAAACATGCTATTCAAATTGATATAAAACAAAAGATAGAAATGTACAGTATTTATCTTAGAATGTAAGCCAAAAGTAAAAATAAAATCATAGCTGGGATTTTGCTTAAATCATAAATAAAATCTATATTCAAATATATACATACACATACACACACACATACACACACACATGTACCTGAAATTTACAGTATGGGTGACATAGTTCTCCAAAATTCCTCTAATCATATCCCATTTAAGGAAGTAATGGAAATACAGAATTTATCCAAAAGTTCACTCAAAAGCTGGCTATTTAGAACTCAGGGACACATGTTCCCAACATATCTATGCCCCTCCTCCCCCTTGAATCCCTACCTCCAAGTGTGTACTCTTCTGGCACACTTAGATTTTGAGAAATAGTAAGTTCTTCTCTCTTAGTCCTCATTTCTTCCATAGTGTATTCCTTTCTCATTTCCCTTTTCTTTCCTCTCTTAAAACCAATAAAACAGAACAAAACCATACTCAGGCCCTATGTTTTTCTTTACTAGCTCTGTAACCCTTGAAAAAGTGAAATTCTAAAGGGAAACTTACGTGTTTTTCCCCCAATTAAAATGTAAGCCTTTGATCCTTATTTATTCCATTCTAATATTTCAATTATATTTCACTTTCTACATTTCTTGTTTCCTGTCTTTTCATTCCACAGAAACTATGAAGCTCAAGTTCTGGTAAGTTCTACTCTGTTTAAAAGGCTATGAATATAGTCCTAGCAATAAACAGGGATTGTTTTTTGAGATGCAGCTTATCCAAGTAGTATAAAGATGCTCGTTATCAAAAGGATGACCATACACTGGTGGATTCTTCATCTATGTAATCTACCAAACCAGAAACCAAAATATACGAAAGGTCCCTCAGTCCCATGTGACCCACTTCTGCTTTTGCAGTGTAAGAAGGCAAAAACACTTCATTTAGACTATGTGTAAATATTAACTTAGTTACAGATACTCTGAATATGATATGCTTATTCAGTAGCATGCATTCAAACAATGTTCACATTCTCATTTTGAACGAAAGTAAAAGACAAAAAGGGTGGCTCCCAAGTTCTCTTCAGATATGCAATTGCTAAGTAAGGTGCACATAGTGGGGGATGACAAATAATGGATTTGGCAGAGTTGGTGTCTTCTTTTACCCAAAGACAACAATAAATATAATTTCACTTATTCATCTGTTATTGCTGTGATCATGACAAGAATTTACAAAAAAAAAACCATGTTAAGATAATGTGTCAACATGCCTATGTTTCATCATCTGGCACCTGGTAAGCACTATATAAATGTTAGTTATTATTATTATCATTATTACTATTATAGCTTTTTCAGAGAATGAAGAGGTAGAAAAATTCTGTAGAGAACTAAATAAGGTCCTCCATCATAAAGAAGCATATACATTTATAGTCAATTATCTCATCCATATCATACCTACTAACTGTGGTATTCCCCAAGGCTCTACCCTGGGGTTTATGGGGTGTTCATGGAGCACTAGCACCTCTGGCGTGAGGGCTTGCCAAGCCCTTTTCAGCAATGCTTGCCCAACTTTGGTCTCTACCTTTCCATCAACTCTCAACTGCGGCTCCCAGAAGCTGTAGCACACACAGTGGCCACACCCTAGTAAACTGTCTTCACGAATGGGCTAAGTCAGGTGGGGTAACCTTTAGGCCTCAAACCTGTCAGTGAGTTAGGGGGATGTCTACTCAAGTATATGAAGATTTCCCCAGAAGAATGGGTGGATGAGAACAATTTGTTCCAACAGCCATGAAGGTGACTAAGCAGTCACTGTGGAGCACTTGGAGCTTGGTCAGACATCGGAAACACAGAGGTCACCCACTGCATCCCAGGGCATTTCCAGTGATCTTGACTTCTGTCTTATCACCAGATTTTCATGACTGGAGGAGAGAATAAAAGACTTTGCACAACTCTGCCTCATTTAAATTCAATTCACTGGCAAGTCAAGATATCACCCAGGATGTCACTGGTCCTCTTCAAAATGGATAAATGAACAACAACATTCAGCTCCAGGCAAACTTAGGCTAATGGAAGCCTATAGATAACACTCTCAGATCAGTCCAAATGGGTTCTTTCCTTCAAAAGGAAAATTAGGGACAGGCAGACAGAAAAATATACAGTAACTGATGAATCCATGAAACCAAAGGAATTCTGCAAATTCTTAGGTGAATCCTTATCTAGCTTACTGGAACACAGCTAAGTGCTTAATAAATCTTTTTAATTGACTCACTGGTCTTAGTTCCCCTAGCCTTCTTGAGAATAAAACCTAACTGATACTGCCACATAGACCCTACTTATAGCTCCGAATAAGACTCTTTGCATCATCTCTGCTGATTTGCACATTATGGAGACCAAAAAAGACAGATGAGAAACTGAGTATAAAACAAAGTTGGTTAGCATCAACACCTTTGTAATACAGGGTGTCCCAATAGTCTTAGTGATGTTTTAAGTTGCTTAAAACCTCACTAAGACTATTGGGACACCCTGTATTTTTGTATTTGTGTACTATCTATGGTTTACTGACAATAAATCCTGTTGTAAGATTTTAGAAGTATGCAGCTGTGTGTTTGTTTCTTGAGATGCAGAACTGAATTATTACCTAATAAATTATTTTACGTAAAATATCCAAGAGATTAAATTTCCTTAGACACAAAGGATAAAACATTGAGAGACAGGAAAAAAGGAAAATACTAAAACAGAAATAAAGTTGGATAACAAAGGTTAAAGGAAAACTCTAATTCAGTTTTTAATGGTATAATTTTTAGGAGATGAACGCTCAATTAGGAAAACTATAGAGTGTCATCTAGGGCTCAAAACAGAGTAATAAAAACAAAATAAACAAAATTGATTGAAGACAAATTGATAATAAATAAAAAATTAAAGAACAAGTTCATGAAATAAAGGAAGAAAGGAAGGGAATAAACATCTATGCCAACTATGTGCCAGGTACCACATTAAGTGCTTTTTTGTGAGGCAACTGGGGTTAACTAAATGCTTTTTACAAATATTCAACAGCCCTGTAAGGTAAGTGCTATTATTATCATCATTTTACAGCTATCTGAGGTTGGATTTGAACTCAGGCCCAGCATTCTATCAAATGCACCACCAGCAGTCTCTAATAGAGTGCCCGGCCTCGAGTCAGAAGACTCATTTTTCTGAGTTCAAATCCAGCCTCAGACACTTATTAGCTGTGTGATCCTGGGCAAGTTACTCAACCCTTTTGCCTCAGTTTCCTCATCTACAAAATGAGCTGGAGAAATGGCAAACTACTCCAGTATCTTTGCCAAGAAAAATCCAAATGGGGTCACAAAGAGTCAGACATGACTGAACAACAACAAAAGTTTTTAAATATGAAAACTTTCATCGATAGATAGATATCACACATGTGTATTTATAGCTATATCTATCTTCCAAGTACATACGTATTTACATGTTGTTTCCTCCCTTAGGATGTGAGTTCCTTGAGGTCAGGGATAGTGATTTTTACTTCTTTGCATCCCCAAGCATTTAATAAATGCTTGTTAACTCACTAACTGACTTTAAGGCACTTCAAAAGAGAAATTTGGGGGAGTTAGCACTATTTTGGGTACATGATCAGAGATAACATCCCAGGATAAACATAAATTGAAAACAACATATAATCAGAGAGAACACAAAATGCTTTAGCAAGGGGAAATCGTAACTATGAAACTACAGAATTATAAAGACAAAAAAAAAA